ATATTTGTTAGAAGCATGTATATCCCTTTGAGAACTCTTTAACCCATTAGTGTTGTGTCATTGGATTTGGACTTTCTGACAGCCTGTTTGGGGGGACCAATTGTAGCAATTACCAATTGTAGCAATTAAAGAGCTCTCTGCTTAGCTCATGGTAATGTAAACAGCACTTTATCAGTTTTACTGGCAAATAATAAATGCACATAGGGGTAATTCTGTGTATTTGTAGGAATGATATACCTTAAAGAGAACAATAATTCAAAACACAGCAGCTGTTGAGAAGCTGCGTTTTACATTACAAATGTGCAATCATACCAAATAAAAATAGGTGTCAAAAAATTTAAATCATTAACAGATGAATACATTTTGCATTCTGCTATTGCAAATGAGTGTATTTAGCCAGATTTGTTGAGGGGAATTTATCGAAACCAGGACAGACAGAAATTGCAGCAGTTCCCATAGCAACCAATCAGCTTTTATCTTTATCTTTCTGCTCTGTGTTCTGTCTGCTCCAGTTTTGATCAATTCCCACCCCCTGTGTTTTGCAATTTAGAGCTTTTTCAGAAATGCAAATGTCTAAATATGCTTAACTGAACTGAAATGTGCATTCTTATATTGAGATTAAGTGACCAATTAACACAAAATGTGAGTAACACATCAATGTTTGGTATCCCTGTATTCTAAATAAAAAAAAGGGAATACAGTAAGAGTTGTATTTTGGCAGCAAAAACAGCAAAAGTTTGAAGAAGAAATTATAAGTGAACAATACAGAGCTAGCCTCCAAGCACCAGCACTAATACATGGAAGGAAGGGTAGTGAGTCACGTGCTCCGCTCTAGCCGCTCTTTGTTCTCAGAGACTAAATGGAGCTACAGGGGAGTAAAGGCAAGATAAGTATGTGCATCTGGGGAGGGGGGAAATTAAATAAACTCCAATCAAGTGTCAGGACCAGCAATAACAACCCCAAACAATAAACTCCAGCATGGGCCAAGGCCACCCATGATAACCCCCAAGTGTCAGGGTCAGAAAATATAATCCCCAGCAATAAAACCCTGCAAGTGTCAGGACCAGCAATAATAACTCTCAGCAATAGCTTCCATAAAGTGTCAGCGCAAGCCAAGCCACATTACAATAATAAAACACAGGCACAATAATATCTACCAGCACATGAATAAACCCCATCACCAGTGGCGTAACAATCGCCATAGCGACCCAGGAGGCCGCTATGGGGCCCGGGCACCAGGGGGCCTGACCAGGGCATCCCTCTGATGCCGTGTGGGCCGCCTGGGTCGCTATGGCATGTAAGGGTGCTGGATGTCACTGACACAGCTCAGCAGCGGCATTTCCCCTCATAGCTGCTGCGGAGCTGTGTCAGTGACAAAGTGTGTAAATTGTGCAGCGCTAAAAATTAAAGTGCATAATATATATAAAAATGTAAAATATATAAATATATATAATTAAATATATAAATATATATAAATTAGATAATATGACAAATCTATAATATACAGTGTCTAACTATTTAAATACTTATAAATAAGATATTAAATCAGGGTTATCCATAAAGCGCGGATCCACATCTTTTACTGTGTCAGTGACAGCCAGCAGCTACGGCAGAAGAGGCCGGCGTTCGCAGTGACGGAGGCGGGGCCCGCCTAAGAGCAACCCCGCCTCCTCTTACATCACTGGCCAGTGACCTAAGAGCAGGTGGGGCCAGTGATGTAAGAGGAGGAGGGACCCGTCGATAGAAGAGGAGGCGAGGCCTGGGGACGGAAGAGGAGGCGGGGCCCCGGCGACCACGGAGGCGGACAGCGCTGACAGGTAAGAGGTGTGCAGCCCATCTGAGACCCTGCAGAGCCCACCATAGATAGTCTATGGTGGGCTCTGCAGGGTCACTTTCAGGTGGGCTCTGCAAGTGGCATAACTAGCAATCACGGGGGCCCTATACAAAATTTTGCTATAGGGCCTTGTGATTTCTAGTTATGTGCCTGCCCAACACAATAATCCCTAGCAACAATAACGACCCCCAGCACAATAATAACCCCCACTGTCCCCAGAAATAATAACTCCCAGCTGAATTGGTAACACCCAACAGCAGTAATAGACCCCGGCAATAATAATACCCAGCACCAAGGATAACCCCATTGTCCCCAGAAATAATACCTCCAGCAGCAATAATAGTCCCCCGGTAACTATAAATGATCACATCAATAATAACCATCAGCAGCTATAATAGACACCCAATGTCCTCAGCAATAATAGATTTTAAATGTACTCAGCAATATTTGACCCCATAAGCAAAAATAGACCCCACTGACCCCAGAAACCATAGACCCTCAGAAGCAATATTAAACCCCCAGCATTGGTGTTGAGTAGTTTTACTTACCGATTTGCAAAGGCAGCAGGCAGTTTGGTCTATTCTTATAAATGCCGAACAGCAGTGAGTGGCATTCGGCTCGGCTGTTCTACTCGGTCCCTCTGTGGGACCGAGCAGAACAGAAGAATAGTTAAAAAAGTAGAAAAAAATAAATAGAAAACGATTGTGCGGAGCTAGCAGTGACAGCTAGCTCCGCCCAACTGTTTTCTATTGGCCGGCGGTTCTGCTGCCGTCAAAAAAAAAGAAAACTAATCTCTCTGCAATTCCCAGCTAATTACCAGCTGATCTCTCTGCAAGTGGCCGGAGCCAGCAGTAACATCACGACTGGCTCCGCCCAGCTGGCAGAAGCAGGCTGTCAGACGGCCAATGGCCGGCCAAATAGACCCCTATGTTTTTATTTACTCTATTTTGTATTTCATGGCAACAAAAGTCATGTAGTGTTGAAACTGTAGTGGCTTACTTTTCACTGAAATTCCAGAGTAATGCAGATACAAAAAGGCTTTTAGGTTTTGAATGGGCTTACAATATCAGTAACACTGAATATTGAACGATCAAACAAGTGATAGCAAATGTTTGTTTCAATGTCAGTTGCATAGCATTTTTTGACAGCATATATTAAAAGATTATAGAGAAACAGAGAATAGGCTGCCTGTCATTGATATAGATGGGCACCACCACACAGTTTGTTACTAGCATGTTCGTTGCTTGGAAAAGTTATGACCCTTACCCTTCATCTGAAAGGTGGAAGCATGATCACTGTCCAGGTTGTGGCGTCTTGCATAGGTGTCTAATGGTATGCAGCTGTGTTAGTGGGGGTTCCATCCTTCATGTGCATGCTGCAAAAGCCTGCCAAGAGGAAAGTTGAGTTTTGCCCTTTTACATTTTCATGGCTCAGGGCTGTCTGCTGGGCATTGTGTTCGAAGAGAAAGCGAAGACACCTGACCAGAGCTGAGGCATGTTCAGTTGCTCAGCCGCTGCTAGTGTTAAGTTAGCAAGCCGCTGCTGTACTGCATGTCAGCGCTCAGCACTGCTAACTTAGCACTCACAGTGGAAGTGAGTGTGGATGCAGAGCGATGAGCGTGGTGGAGAAGGTGGAGACAGAACACCAGCGGCCATTTTAACTGTGGCCACAACTGGTAGCCCTGGAGAAAGGTGCCTGAATCCCGATTGAGGACATCAGTTCCTTGTGGGAATCTACAATTTAATGATGTTTTGGTGGACGAGCAAATCAAATATTCGTATTAAAATTGTATTTATTAGTCAAAAATATTATCCTCTGCAATTTTGCTTAGAACTGTGGAGCCGAAGCGTTCAGTGAAGCTGCTGCAACCAACTGAAGTGCTGCAGAACAGCTACTCAGCGCTTGGCTAAAGGAACTGAACACGCCTCTGGACTCAGCAGTCTTTACTGAAGTGCAGTAAAGAAATGGCAAAAGAGGCGCCAGCTATCATGCTGTTCCTTTGGCTGCTATATTTTCACTAATGGGGTATAGATATGCAAAACCTGAACTTTGGATTTGCCTAATCATTAAAGGCCTCAGCTTGGAGATGGAGATTAGCAATTAGAGTCTTTGTATTCCTCTCAAGACAGAGTTACAATGCTGGTCACACGTTAGAATCTGATTTTGATGCCAGCCTCCCACTCCATAATGGAGAATCTGTCACATGATCCACTGTATTACAAGGCAATATGTCCACCTTACCTAACAAAAATAAAAGATTGAGTTTATTGACCTTTGACTTCAAAAAATGATCTCTATGAGTTTGTTTACTTTTTGCAAACTTATACTTAAAAAAAATACTAAAATAGGATATGTTCAAAAAAAACTATCTTTTGCATTTGCTGCCTGCCACTAAAATACTGTGAAATCAAACTTTTGCTACAGTCCTTAACCCTTTCTTGACTAGTCATTAATCCATGAAGGCACAAACCAAATTTACCAAGTCAGAATGTACCAGTTAACTTGCCAATAGATCTATAACTAATTTGCCTACCTAAATAAAACATTTTTAGGAGTTATAAAGCTTTTTTTTTGGTACCTTGATCTGATTTTTTTTATCTTCAGTTGACAAATAAACAAAAATGTAAACATTCTTTAATTTTTAAAAATTAGCATGTATCAATGTATTTTTTTTTACTTTACTGTATTGTTTTAAAAAAAGGATTTTTTTCCCCCCTCCATGCACAGAGAGGACACCGAGAAAAAAAAAATCATGCTGACATCTGGAGCTATATAAATTTGTTTACTAACAAACCTCGTATGATAAAACAAATATATATAAAACATCAGATCAAAAATGCTAAATAAAGTTAGATTCACTTAAATAAGGAAATAGGGACTGCTTTATTATGGTTGTGGCATTTCTGAGTACCTTTGTACCTCTTAGCAAACCTGACCAGTTTTTCTGTTTAAAAGTATGACTGTATATTCTTCATTGGATTTTAGGGTTTAGGGTTGCTAAGAAAGGTTTCTAAGGTAAAATAAATTGTATGTATGAAGTGTTGCATAAAAGTTTTTTGTTACATTGATTTGTAGACCATATCCCAACAATCAGCTGTAAATGTATTTGTGAGCGAAATACAGACGGAAGTTTGTTTATGTTTTTCCTTTCTTTTTGTTTTTCAAGATACTATGCTATCTGCTGCCAGCCTTTGGTTTACAGGAACAAAATGACCCCCCTGAGGATAGCGTTGATGCTTGGTGGCTGTTGGATTATACCAACATTTATATCATTCCTCCCAATTATGCAAGGATGGAACAGCATAGGCATTCTGGACTTGGTGAGTTAATAAAAATGTGTCCATGCATTGAGTAAAGTTGCACATAATGGGAGTTTAGATATTTTAGATAGTTTCCAGTACTTTGTAATGGACTTTAAAAAGGTCCATGACAGTAACAAAAGCTTTTTTCAATTATCATGAACAAAAAAAATAGCCCCTCGATAACCTAATTGTTTTACTTTTTTAACATAAATAAAATAAACAGCAGGAACAAATATAATAAAATATTTAGACAAATATAAGAAATATAAAGAAAAAATAATCTTAAATACTCTAAATATAGACCCTCTAAATAAAAAATAAAAAAATTGTGCAAATTTCACCCAAATTAAATTGTTAATTTTTCTGCAATTTCACCAAAATCACTCTGTTTATCCCTAGGCAGAATAATGTAAAACATTTATTCAAAAAACAAACTCTATTATTTAAAATTAAACGTTAATCACCAGTGGGCCCAATCCCCTGTGGGGTTACACCAGCTGAGTTTTGTTATAGATTCTTTTATTTTTAAATAGCTGTTATTAATAAAATGTATAGGCGTTTTCATTTTAACTGCAAATATATTAAACTGTCTAAGCAGGTTAGTTACTTGTTAATCTGTTCTGGCTTTTCATCTGTGATCTGGTTGGGCATATGAGCAAGAATTTAATTTTTCTTTTGCAAATTTTTATTAATCTGCTATTTCAAATAATAACAAAGTATTATTGTTTTATAAATTACCCTTTTATATATTGCATGTTATTGCAGTGATGTAAGCAGGGGACCCAAGAGTCACCACCCCCTGTTCCCTGCACCTTCTCCTTATTACCCAACCATAGCATAGACATAGGACTGTTGTCTTCCTGGATTGGATTAACACTGAATTGTAAACATATTTTTACAAGGATAGGTTGTAAAACATGTGAAAAAAAAGACATTAAAAATGTATGCTGATATTCTCAGCCAGGTAGTGAAAAACAACTGACCCATTAAATCAATGTATCACTATATTTTACAATTATATTTAAATGTCTTTTATATTAATTATAATAATAAACTTATTTTAAATTGTTTGCTTTCAAGTCTACAGTGCTTCTCTAATATAACAGAAGCAATGCAAACGTGATATAACCAGCAATCCACCTGCTTCATGCAGGTAAAAAGCTATAATGATTTTCGCTTAGGGGATTATTCACAAAAGGGTGAAGAGTTTGGAGAAAGCAGGAGAAGTGAACAATCTCTGCATAAAAGATTACAAGAAGTCTATGATAAAAGGATTATAGTCGGGGCCGGTGCTGCCACTAGGCAAACTAGGCAACCGCCTAGGGCACACTGCTGCCTAGGGCACACTGCTGCCTAGGGTGCCGCCTCGACCACCCCCCCCGGCACCAACCTGTCCATTTCAAACTGAAACTTTCTGTCTCAGGTCCGCTCCTCTGCTCAGTGGGTGGGGTTTCAATAGCCAGTCCGCTATTGGCTATTTCAAATTAAAATAGCCAATGCAGTCTGAATTATATTACAGTTTAATAATAGGGGCCTATTGATAAACCATTCACAGAGTGAAGTATTTCGTTTCTATGCTCCTCAGCTCCATCTAGTGACCATAATGTAGTATTATACCACAATACATTCAAACAGAGAAAAAAAATATTATGAACATTAATTTTTGACATTATTTATTCAAAATGACTGTTCAGATATTTGCAGGACAAAAAAAGTGTAAAGCATATGTATAGCTATTTTTTTTTAGCTTTAGATAGAGTAGAGAAGGTTTAAGAACCCAGTTTATTCTTAATCTGTGTACTATTGAGGAAACTGCCCTTTATTTTTGTCACAGAGACATAACACTTAGCTAGAGGAAATCTACCAAAATGAGGGAATTCCCCTCTAAGACAGTTATACCTGAAACAGGCATTCTCGTTGCAAGATTTCCTCTTAACGCTTGTTCTCTAAAATTTGGAATTTCATTTTTTTCTTGATGACAGTGATCATCAGTACAAACAGAAAGGTGAATCTCCTCCATGGAAACACAATTAAAAACTTGACAGAAGGTCTAACCCAGTGCTATTATCTAATTTAAGTGCTACACCACCTGCTGGCCTCTTTTGTGTTTTCTTCTCTTTGGGGCATTTCTGCATCTTACCGCTTAATTCATAATAAAAAATAAACTGAAAATCCAGCAGGATTGGAGATTGGACCTCCTTCTAATTGAGTCTCAGTACTGTCGAGATCCACTCAGCTGCATGAGTGATAGCCTATCTAGAGACAGAGCCAGCTGTGCCCTCCCCCGTCTGTTCCTCCACTTCTCCACTGTAACAAAGTGCAGGTCAGGAAGCTCATGTAAAAAAAAAACCTCCTCATAGACCTAAGAAACCATTTTGTGGTTTTACTAGCCAGTATCAACCAAAAACTAGATTGAATCAGTTGAACTGCATTTATATGTAGATTTAGAAGAGAAAGAGGACAGGGTTAAAATCATGATCATGATCACTATTTGTCCAAAGAGTAAACAGAAGCAGGATAATGGCATGAATTCTGAAGAGCGAGAGTTTCGGAAAGGTATTGGTATCCTCCTTATGCTATAGAACCACATGGAACACTAGAAGATGAAAAGTGCAGGGAATACTTTGCAAGTCCTATAGAAGATAAAATATATGTATTTCATTTTTGTCTTACAATTTGGCTAAAGCCCTTTAATGGCTTAAATTCAAAAGACCAACATTCTTGCTCCCCATCTTGAGGATATTATTTGTCTAATTAACATGCAGCATAAGCCTTTTTTTTTAAATAAATGTAATAGATGTTTTCTAGTTACTGCTAAGCCTGTTACAGAAAGTAATTCTTTCCCAAAATATTGATAATTATAAATCCAGGCCAAGAGCTCTGAGTCACTCCACTGATAATACAGGCCTTTAATAGTTTCCCTACACTTTGTTCTGTGCTCCTTCTATAAATACTGCACTTTTAAACTGTCAGATAAGCATTCAATTAATTTAAGAAATGCATTCAACTGCTGATACTTATAAGAATAAGTCATGGAAATGAACCAGAACCATAATGTTAAAGGCAAAATCAAAGCCTTCTTTATTATCATAGTCTCCGCAACACTCAGGTCTGTGTGATTGACAGTGGGTACAAAGGGAGAGAATCAGGGAGATTATTATTAACAGGACTAAAGAGAGTGAAGCAAGCCTAGCAGAATATTCCCTGGAATGGTTACTTCCCCTCTTACTCATCCCTGCAGTTTTATTCACAAAAAGAATCATACAGAGCAAATTAAATTGAATCTATTACCTGTTCATTTTAGCGTAATGCTGAAAGGATTTGAATATACCCGTGGAAGACAACTTAAATTTTTAAGCAGATAGCTATTTTATTAAAATGACGCTAAACTCAGGAGTTAGGAGAGAACTATTGGCTATGTGTTTTTCCCATAGTTCTCTTTAGGGTGACGGGAGGACATATACAGTACTAACCTCCTCCTGTGACCCAAAGCTCAGTATATAGTGGCCTATTGCCTGCGATATACTGAGAGCGCCGAAGCCGGGACGGATCCCGATAATACTGTCGAGATCCACTCAACTGCATGAGTGACAGCTGGCTCTGCCCCCTCCCCATCCGTTCCTCCACTCAGCGCTGGAGGATCGGAGAGGGGAGGGTGGACTGATGGTGACTGACAGTCACTGCAGGGAGACGATCGGAAAGTGAGCGGATCAGCGTCATGTTTCTGCTCACTTCCCGATCGATAGAGCCGATTTGTGACAGCTTATTTGTCACAGGTCTCCCTGCGCATCCCTCTGCACCCCAAGTTCCAATCTCAATACAAATAAGTAAACTAAACGAGATTTTAGTCCAACACTAAACTCAATCCTAAAACAATAAACCACAAATGCCAACCATAAAGCACTAAACCACATTCCTTTTTTCTGGGGGCAGTAGGGGGTAGGGTTTAACCTAACTAAGTAACTCAAATTAAAAAAGAAATAAGAACATATGAAATAATTGAAAACAAAAAACTTAATAAAAAGACATAGAAAATTAAAGTGGGGTGGGGTGGATGCAGAAGATTACAGCAACTGAAGTTGTTGCTAATACACACAAATACACACAAAAAGGCAGTCCTAGAAAGAGCCTCACCTAGTATTATGAAGGAAAAAGCTGTCAGCTTCAAGTCAGAAGCTGACAGCTTTTTCTCCATTCAGATTGGCTTGTTGCAGGTTACACAGGTTAATTACAGGCAGCGCTGCATCCAGTTTTTGACTGGTAGTTAGGTTACACAGCAGCAGGCTTTCCCACTGCTTGTGTAAACTAACTAGTGAGACAAGAGCTGTCACAGCCTCTACTCTGTTTTAGAGGTGTGATCTCTGTGGATGGCTTGGACCAATGGCAAAGCACCATTGGTCCAAGCTGTCCAATTTACAAAAGAAAAAAAGAAAAAACACTAAGGCCATTGATCTCGATGCCTCAGCAGTGACGAGCAAGTGAGGGACAGAGAGGCTCCTCCCTGTCTCCTCCCTTCCTCCTCCCTCCTTCACACTAGCTTGGGGACTGGGTAGGGGGTGGAGTTTCAGCAGGTGGGGTGGAGTTTCGGCAGGCTGGGGCGGGGGCTTCAGCAGGCTGGGGGGCGGGAGGTGTGGGTGGTGAGGCTGGGGGAAGGACTCACCCAGAACCAACGGTACTGCACGTCACTGCTTCACACTGGGTGTGGATAAAGGCCAAGGAGGGTTACGTACTTACATATTGTTTGAGGTTCAATAAGGACACAGGTCCATTGAGTTCAACCTATGTGAAAGTTTGTGTATGTGTGTGTGCATGAGTTACTAAGAGTACCTGTACTACTGTATATTGTGGTATCTAAGTAAAGCATCTTAAAGGTCCTTGAATAAATCATAACTTTTAGCGTTGACCACTGCTTGGGGAAGGGAGTTCCACAATTTTACTACTCTTAAACTACTCTTAAACTTCACTTAAGAAGCCCTTGGCTTCTTAAGTGAACTGACAGTAAACATGTTATTACAGAT